ACGGGCACGTGAGTACATCTACTTTGTTTCATCAAAGCTACGCATTTATTAACAGTGGTAAAGGTTACGAACTACTGCTCTGAACAGATTTCGCCCCCCACACCCGCAACTTCAAGTGTGGTCGCGTCCCCCTGTTGGGACCTCTTCACGAATCAGTTTTCAGTTTCACCTATGAGGTATAACCCTGTGAGCCATGCGGCTCTTGACTCGGCTGCAACCGCAACAAAACAAAAACATGAACAAGAAACATCTTAAAGTGACTACACCCAACAGAAAAATCCTGGGAAAAAATCACTCCCCTATACCGTATCCTTTGGAAGCCCGAAAGTCAACAGGTGTGATGCTGTATTTCCTCTCGTGGCCTCCTCCTCTGCCTATTTCCCAAGGTTTATAGTGAGGTCAGCTCGTACGCTGCACATCTCGAGAGCTTCACTCATGGGAACCAGGTAAAGAACACGAACAGAGCCTCCATCTCCTCGTCTCTACCTGCTAAACACGTGAATGGGGGATGCACAAGCAGCACAATGAACCAAAAAATACCTCACTTAATTCGTCAATGCAACGCTTTAAAAGAAAACACAACAGGTGGCGTTTTGGGCAAAGGCCCTTCCTATCACATTATTCATTATCTCGCCACGGTGGCGAGATGGTTAACTACCTTGCCGGACGTGGGTGCGATCTCGACCCTGACGATGCCTGTATATTTGGAGTTTGCGGTGTCTCTCTCCGTGGCTGTGTGGATTTCTTTCGGGGTCCTCCAGTTTTTCCCTCCACATTTAGAAACACGCTTTTAGAGTATTTGGCTGCTATAAATGTCCACATGACAGGACACTTCGTTGAGATATCATTTGTGGCCATGTCTTTTCTGAAAAATAGCCATATGACTCAATGGGCCTTACTTGGTAAAATACAAAAAATAGTTTTACTTTAAAGTATAAAGAAGGGCCATTACCCAAAACGCAGTCTATTTATAAATGTTTCTTTTTAAAGCCAACAGTGTAATTGATTCAAGTGTTGAGTTTGTTGGGTAAGGTTTTTCCCCCACTATCCATTAAACATCCCTTCCGATGTCTCCCCTTGTGTACCGGCCCCAAGATTCTGACTTGCGTCTGTGTTGAGATTATCAACTCTACATCCCGAGTGGGCGGTACTGCAGATGTGCCACTTCGTGAAAATTTAGTGAAAACCAGTCGACGACAGTGTGTGTGTGTGTTGCTCCATCTCCTGGTATAGATCTGTAGTGTTAAACGCAGCCCAGTGCAACACATTCCTGCGGAGGGAGCTGGTAGGAACGTTGGGTTGCTCTGTCAATGGCCAGGGTCAACGGCGGCGTGGTGTAATCCGCAAATATGCCCGACTGTGAGGGCGGGCACAAGCCCGCGTGAGTAGGTCAAACGTTGAGTTTTATAAGGGCACCACGGGGTGACCAGCCCCTCCCCACCCCTCCCACCCCCCACCCAGCCCCATCCTCCCCACCCAGCCCCTCCCCACCCTCCCCACCCAGCCCCTCCCCACCCAGCCCCTCCCCACCCTCCCCTCCTCACCCAGCCCCTCCCTCCCCACCCAGCCCCTCCCTGCTCGACGGAGGGACGGACACAATAATCCCCTGTGGGCTGGTGTAATAAGGAGGTTCCTACCAGTAAAATAGAATTAAGGTGAAAGCCTTAAAGCAAAATGTGATTTTACAGTTAAATTCCTCGTAAATTACCGTCCGTATTCCAGTGTCAATACTCTGTGATTGGGTTACCTTACAGCACACTGCTCCTGAAGCTACGGGATAGAATGTGATTTTCCGCAAATATGCCCGACTGTGAGGGCGGGCACAAGCCGGCGTGATTAGGTTAAACGTTGAGTTTTATAAGGGCACCACGGGGTGACCAGCCCCTCCCCACCCAGCCCCACCCCTCCCACCCCCCACCCAGCCCCTCCCCACCCTCCTCTCCCCACCCAGCCCCTCCCCACCCTCCCCTCTCCACCCAGCCCCACCCCTCCCATTTTTGGATGCACGACGAACGGACGGACACAATAATCCCCTGTGGGCTGGTGTAACCAGGAGGTTCCTACCAGTAATAGGGTCTTTATCATCGAAATATAGAAAATTGCTGACAAAAGTTGAACCTCTACTGCGAATATAATCCCCGCCCGCAATGTAGATCTGAAAGTGTCACGTGACTGCATGGCAGTGGCGCAGAAAGGTTGCACATTTGGATTGAGGTGAAGAATGCGGGCAGATCCGAGTTTCATTCGCAGTCGATTGGCAAGGGAAGGGCAGCAAGCGCCACTGAACTCACACGGCAAGATGGAGAGGCGAGTGCCACCAGATCGAGACCGTTGGAACGCGAGACATCAGGAGGGCACTGCCCATTAATGTTGTTTACTGGTGGAATTAGCAAGGGAGGCAACGGAGCAATCATCATGAGCCGCGGTCAAGAAAAGCACAAAGCGCTGGATAAGTAACTAAAAAACGAAAAGCTCGTTATTTTATTTTATCAGCACGTTTCATTGTTGTCGAGACATCATCATCAGATGTGATCAATAAAGTGCTGGATGTAGGCCTCCCGAAGTCCTCGCCATTTCTCAACTTTACCGAAAAAACCTAAGAATATGAATCCTTGCAGTCACGAAAGTTTCAAATCTAGAATCCTTTCCAATGTTAGAGGTGGCATGTGATGTAAGTTGTTAATCACTTGGAAACGCCGGAGTATAAAGGACGCTATATGATGAGTGTTGTGATTATTATTATACTGTGATGACTGACACCACTATTCATGTGAAACGGTCATACTGATTTAATGTCAGGAGTTGCTGCTTGCTGATTTGACTGTGTGTATATTCACGCCTACGTTAGAATTTAATGGCATTGCGTTTATATCCCCCCCCCCCCCCCCGAGTAAATTTAATCTGTCATTTTTGTACAGCTTTGTGTTATCTATTTTTAAAACGATATATATAAATCATATTTGGTGTTAGCTTGTTCAGTTATCACATTGCAGCTATTTTTAGTAATGTATAGTCTCGTTCGAAGAGCATATACCAAAGAAAAATGATACGTTATTTCAGTCGTGTTTTTTGTTGTTGTTACCAGGTCAGTAATGTCCGTATGAGAGTAGACGGTCTGCATTAAGAATGCCCGCGTCGTTATAATCATACTCGGGGAAAGAAATAATTCAAAACTGAATTAGGTCCTTTATATTCAGCTTAATTATTTTAATCTGCACATCACTGCAATATAAAAAAAAATCATAACTTTCTACGGAGATCAATTAAAATATAAAAATTGGGTTCACCCATTAAGGCAATTGTTATATGTAGTTTTCAGAAACAAGTATAACACAACTGGATAACTTTAGACGAACTCTTTCCTTTTGAGTACTGGAACACCAATCGCCCTCTGGGTTGGCATTTGTGTGGGTCCAAATAGGATGTTTTGGTTTTTAAGATGTGTTCTTGTTATAAGCATACCAATTAAGACGAGGCTCAAAAGAAAGCCGTCTCTGGTGTGGACCAATCAGTTTCAAGGACAATGCATATATTATCAGTGTGTTTTTTTTTTGCATTTTGACCACAAGTATTGTAGTTAATGCACACATGATTTCTTGTAAAAAAGTTTCAGTTCTATTGCCAGAAAAAAGGTGAAAACCCCTCTTATTGTAATTCCAATAATGTCCACTCATCTTGAAGTGCTCATAAAACACTAGTGTCGTGTCGGACGCACTCAAACTTACATTTTCATCTATGCCAAGATGGTAATAGTGAAATCAGTTCCATGTGTATCACACCATGACCTATTCCATAAATAAGCCATATTCCCTAAAGTGCAATATCTTTATAGAAATACACCTAATTTCTTATTAAGATAATTGCGATGTTTTTTTTTTACTGCGATGTTGCCTATTTTGTGCAACTGCCCAGACGTGAGGTTCTTTGCCTCCAGTGATTGGGACAATTTTACAACTTTCAGTAAAAGCTCAGTCATCTGGAACAGCAACCACTCAGAATCTTTATCCGATGAGCTATGACATTATTTTACTGGTAGGAACCTCCTGGTTACACCAGCCCACAGGGGATTATTGTGTCCGTCCGTCGTGCAGGGAGGGGCTGGGTGGGGAGGGAGGGGCTCGGTGGGGATGGGAGGGTGGGGAAGGGCTGGGAGGGTGGGGAAGGGCTGGGTGGGGAGGGTGGGGCTGGGTGGGGAGGGGAGGGGCTGGTCACCCCGTGGTGCCCTTATAAAACTCAACGTTTAACCTACTCACGCCGGCTTGTGCCCGCCCTCACCGTCGGCCATATTTGCGGAATACACCACGCCGCCGTTGACCCTGGACATTGACCGAGCAAACCCAACGTTCCTACCAGCTCTCTCCGCAGAAATGTGTTTCACGGATGTCCAGTAGGGGCGGGTCAGTGAGTATACAAAGCGTTATTTATACTCGTTTGCAATAACGCAGTCATTGATGCTTGGGAGTTCAGACGTTGGTGGATTGCTACCAAATGAATCAGTTGCTCTTGTGCACCGGGACAGGGACAGAGTTCTCACGCAATATCCACGGTTCCTTTAATCCGTGACACACCGCGATAATAACAATTACAATTCGTAAATAAAAAAAATCTTAAATTTACTTCTCAAATTGGCAATAAAATTGCAATTTTAGGAGTCTTGCCTTTTTTGGCTGTAGGGGACAATATAAATATATGCACAGGACGTGGCTGCATTTATGTTTAAAACTAGATATACGTTATAATGATGGTCTTGGAAAGAGTCCAATTTGTTCAGATGATCATACCATAAAATGCATTCCTTTAATGTGGCTTTAAAAAAACTTAATTTTTGTGAAATATAAAAATTATGACAGGCATATATGATTAAAAGGCAGAAGTATTACAAAAATACGGCACGGAGCCTTTATCATAGCTCACAAATGGACATGAAAAGGATGTCATACAACTTGCACATGTTGGTATAGCTCACAATTTCTCAGAATGTTTCAACCGGACACAACGCAAACCTTTGAACGTAGAGTGTTTATTTGAGAATTCTTAGTTATGCAGTATTTAGAATTACGATCGGACCGCAAATCAAAGCAAATGTCTTAGAATCAAAAACACAATTTTACCAAAAACAATGTTATCTAAATCAAATAACAAGGCACACAATTAAAAACCTCTTAACACATTTTATTGTTTAATTCTTGAGAATTTATATAAACCAAACGTTCATTGTCATCGTAAACAACGAGACCCAAATCACCAGCTGCTTATTTAAATTCCAAAGGGTGTTAACAAAACTTTCCAATGTAGTTTTAAGTAAAATCTCTCATTTGAAAATATTGATCGTCATTTATAGATCCCACACCCCCCTGAAATGCCAGATACATCTCGCAGGAAAGTCACGACCTTAACACAATTTGGAGAAACAATCCGGCCACCAACTCAGCCCCAACAAATGTATTTACATTACTTAGTGCAAGTTGGCATGAGATGTTATTTCTTTCGGCTATGCAGAATTCATGTATCAATTAAAGCGTGACTGTGAAAGCCTGCCACTTAAAAAGACTTCTCAAAGCTTCATGCCGATTGGTTGACACCAACCGAATACGAACCAATTTCAAATTCAATCCACAGGATCAAAAAAACGTTACGTGCGAGATGAAATTCCCATTGCGATCGTCATTTCATCTGGCGACTTTGAGCTTCGTGGAGTTACTTCTACAGCTGTGCTCTCACCAACAGTACCGTACGCATGTCACTAGTTACTGCAACCTCCGACATTTATCCCCTTCGCAAATCGAAATGGTAAACAGTGCAGACACACTTCCAGTTGCGGTCAGTGTCGCCAGTTTTGACACTGACGGAATTAGAGCGGAGGCACTTTTGCCTGATGCGACAGGTGGCATGAATATAACAGCAGAGTGAGGGCAGACCACAAGAACTGCATTTTATTCATCACCAAGCATCTTGCTACAATCTCACCAACTGTGTGCACATTGAAAATAAAACAAACCTACAAACGATAGATAATTGCAAAAAACACAACATCAAATAAGGTAAAAACGAAAACGTACACAACTTACAACATTAACACAACTTAGGCTTTCAATCATTAACACAATCTACAGGACATGCTACAGGCCATAATACAGCAGAACAAGTCTCAAAGATAAATGCTGTACGGGATTTGGAATTCGCATCTTCTTTATCCATAGATTACGCATCTGTCTCTGCAGATAAAAAAGCAGCAGTGGATTATGACGACTCAAACCCACAAGAGGTGGTGCTCTGCACAATTTAATGCCGTACTTGCGTGCTTAGAGCAAGATTGCATTAACTAGTACAGGTTCGGGTTAAAGTAATATACACCCCATGTATGGCGTTCTGTAACAACTGGTACGGTAGTAGTATTAGTAGGGAGACCTATGATTGTTTTTTGGGATAATTTCAAAGTGGCACTGCAGCAGACAGCAAATGTGCATTGAAATAAGGGGACTTAAGCTACCTATTAAGAAAGCTATTACAACATTAAACGCAATTTTAAAATTAATCAATGGTGCTCCTTAAAGTGTTACAGATGACGTTTTAAACGTATCTTAAACTTAAGACTTTAAAGTTAATCTCTATACTGTACTTCTTAAAATGACAAATGATTTGCAGCAGTTTCAATAATTCTACGCAACGCAAACTCAATTTACAATGCGCACCAGAAAGAAACCAACTATACATGCGGGTATAAAAAGCTTGTTATCAGAAAAAGTTGTAAATAAAAAGACGAACAAAAATGTACAGGTACATCTTAAACGTATCACATTCTGTAATAAAATGCCCAATTGTAGGATAATACGTCTTGCAATTTTACAGACATTTTTTTACCAAATGCAATCGTAAAGGCCACACGTTTTACATTTTAAACCTTCATGTACGCGTGTGCAACACTGTACTATGTATGATTAAAAGCAGCGTGGTTGGTGAATACCGAATTTCCTATAGCTCATGTTCAAGTCCTTAATGCCAAATTGAGATTGATCAAATGTCAGGCGTCGCCCTTTAAAACTCTACAAATCATATATGGGTGCAATCTTTTACTTTTCTACACCAATACTATGCGGTTTTAATTACTGCAGTGTTAACCGATGGTGTTTGGGCTAAAAGCTGCTGTTCCTGGTACGAAAATAAAACATTGAGTTACAAAAATAAAATGTTTTTAATTTAACCACACACAAAAAGGATGTTATTAGTCAGCACTGCATAACGGTACATTGGTGCAACCTATATGAAAAAAAATCATCTCATATAGATGTACAATGCATGTAGCTCGCTGTAGAGCACACATTGTAACAGCAGCACAATGCTGCACAACACTCAGCTTACTTAACTTGTGTTCGCTTACATCACCAAACACCCGTAATCACATCTGTGATACATTTCGTATTTTCCACTCTTGCGATTAATGGTTGTAGTGCCACGGAAATGGTAAACATAACGGAACTTTAAACTCGTTATTTTCATGTCCTCCTAGGGAAAACAGCTTTAAGTTATCCTAACCCAGTGTCTTGACTGGGATATTGAGATTTGCAATATCCCAGTTCCACCTTTATGCAGAACATATTGATCTTTTCAACTCAATCTACATTTTTTTCCTCTAACACACAAAAACCCCCCAAAATTATGGTTGTTTGTTATTTTATTACAGGGCTAAAGCAGTCTCCAAGACTGTGCTCTCTGCCACTTATCAAGACAGCTCCAAGCTAAGGCTGAGAATGTCCCCCAGTGGAGTCGAAGACACCAGGGACACATCCAGCGACAGTTTTTGTTTATGACACGAGTCTCAATTCTCACTGACCAACAGTATACAGATAAAGGTTTAAAAAAAACATTTTCATCCAGATATACACATCTCATTATGATATCCGCATAATATCCACCAGGTGCCCGATGTTATAATTTTCCCCAAAAGTTGGAATTAATGCAAAGTGCTTCCTGGCTATTTCATGATGAAATTATAAAGGATACAGTACGATTTTTTGTTTTCATATATATTGCATCTATTTAAAAAAAAATCAGATATATCATTCAACACAAGTGTCATGAAATGCACCACGTGTGTAAATCATGCCTAGCCATACGCTACACCACCAAAGGGAGTCGTCGTCGCGACGACGTGCAAGGATGATTGGACTCAAGCCCATCAGGACTCAGAAGAGTTCTTCACTCGAGCAAAGTCACACGAACTAGTTAAGGCAAAAGTAGAAACTGTACAAGGTATGCGAGTTTCAGTAGAAAAAAAAAACCTTGGCATCTACTAATAAACTTTAAAATGTAATGTTGGACAATGTTATTAAACTGCATCTTTTATACGAGCACTTAAAATATACATTTTAGACGGAACATGATGTTTGATTCACAACGCTAAACTGTGCACCGCTAACGTGCGAGAGTTTGAATGTGGATGGTGTACTGTGAGCTCTGTGTGGATATGCGTTATCAAATTTCCAATCCGGTGGAAGGCAGCAATATCACCTACTAAATTTCACCTTACATATACAACCACGTGCCTCAAAGCCTCGAAGCCAACAAAACATGAGCAATTTGGCAACAGCATAGCTTGGTAGCTCATCTGTTAATGTAAAACACAAACCTACATGGATGGTCTATAGCTATAGAAAATGACAAAGACATTTGTAAAAAATAATATATAAAATCAATGGAATAGTCAATAACCTATTGGTAAGACACCGAGTTTGAACATTTATAAAATCCCAAAACCTAAAAAATCCATTAGTTTCCAATGCAATAAAAAAAATATTCTCTGTGAGGTTTGCTCTATTAGCTTCCAAACCGATCAGCGGTAAGCACATGGAACAGAACAGCACGAGGGGAGCTTAACAGGGGAAGTTGTACTATACATGACTGTCAGTGTTGTGCCAAAAGTGACAAGGATATGCATGGCTGATGTGACCGGCTGGATTGGATATCCTCTAGAAAGCATGTCCTGGCCGTTGAAGGCTTGTACGGACTTCAGTGAGTAAAACACCAACTTCAAGCTCCATTTGCAGTGAGGTCATCAGCAGGCCTTCATTAGACCTGCGATCAAAAGTGGAAATAGTCAGCAATTATACGACTACATTGGGCATGCGACTATTCAGGGATTGATGCTCTTAGTTATAATGCATGCATTGAAACCTGCATTCCAGAATCGATATTTTCAGGCTAAGGAGCAAACAAAACTGTACATTGACTATTAAATGAAAAACAATCTAAATAAAATGGTAAATATTAGACTATTAATAATTGGCTCTTAATCAAAATGCGATCCACAATCGTGATAACACAACGGCTGGGGCCTGGGGCAGGGGAATGTGGTGAATCCTTGCATGCTTCTCCTGATAGCTTAACACAATAATTCTAATCATAGGTGAAATCGGTGGAAAAATTGTGTTATTTTACCAAGTGGGAGGCCACTGAGATTAACTCAAATTATACGACCAGATGAACCCACGTAATTAAGTCTATTGGAAAGGAGGGTTAGCGTGAAACAAAAAGACAGGTGGAGAATAATGATTAAGAGAGAAAATAGGTGATCAGGAGTAAAACTTGTGAAAATTAGGTGTTGATTTCATATTCTTTGGGTCTTTCGGTATTACATTTGTACATTTCAAGTAAGGAAAAATGTAAAATGCGTGCTTTGGCTTGTGACACACCAATGCCTGCTATTGCAAATTATGTGACTGGGTCTTTCTATGTCCACTGTTTAGTAGACAGAATTGTGCAAAAGTAATGGGGAATGTGAATATGGAATTGTAAATATTAACTCAAAACAATTATAGTGTGTTATTCGAAAGCCAGGAAAAAAAGAAACAGATTTATTATGGTGATACCCATACACACCAGCATGATAACCAGCATGATAACGGACAAATGCACACAAGTCATCAAGAGAAACATTGTTTTATTCGACACAAGTACAGCAAGTCCTCACTTAACGTGTTTTCATACAACACGGTTTTGCTATAACACGGTTCTTCTACAAGAGAACACCTTTCGCACAATGCCGTGCGCACTCGTGTTATAATAATGCGGTTTCTGAGCGGTCGAAGACAAAGTACTTTCTTGAGCTGCGCGGCTGAATGGTGATGGGATTTCTGGGAATACGCGCGGAATGATACAGTACGCGGCAGCGTACCCTTTTCAACTCCGCTTAAAGCGGCACTTTTCATAAACGCAACTATTGTGAAAAACGAAGAATTACCGTACAACTATTTACCAGCTTTGAGAATGCAGGGTACCCAAGCGACGTGTACCAGCCTCATGGATAAGTGCATACTGACCCGTATCTAGAACATGATGGCCTTGTTGGACGTCCTCTCTTTGACATAGGTAGTGAATCTCTTGAGAAATTTGGGGTATTCCCGTTTGGCCACGGCCCTCAGGGCAGCAGCAGGGGCCCAGCCTCCAGGGTTCACTGCGGGTCACACACACAAGCAACGCAAGCAGCCAGACAGAAACAAAATAGTTTATGTACAAATATTTCTTGGCATAAAATGTTTCAACGTTATTGCTCCAGTTTTTTTTTATTATATTGCCGTTTAATCACCAGAATTATGCATTTTTAATTATTACAAAATATGCCTTCTTTCTGAACTTGATGAGTTGCACCTTGCACTCGCATTGTGGGTGAGGTAACTACAAGTTTAAAATAATTGACAAAAAAAGGCAAGAGATATGATGTTCGTTAAAAAAACAATCCTGTTCAAACCACAGATCCTAGCGTAAAGAATGTGAGCGTGGGGTTGCTCTGGCGATGTCACTCTCGTGTCACGTTTGAGACGCTGGATCTCAAAAGAGCACAGGCCCTAATGGACCATGGCACGTGTGCACTCCGGGCAAATTCAGTGCAGTCATTGCTGGCAACTGTCACCGGCATAATTTCTACAACTGTTTTCCATTGTAAATAAAAGAAACGTGGCTAGATTTTGATAAATATTATTTGTCGATCCCCTGAGTGGGCAAGTGAGATGGCGACTTCGAATCAGAATCACAGAGGTTGTACGATAACTTAAGGGCACAAGCCTGCAGAACAATCATTGTTCACTTTCAAATAACAGTGTTGTTAATACTTGGGCAGAACTCTGTCACCATATGCCACTGCCTTATAAAGTTGCCATAGCAACTCGCAGTAAATGCGTTGCCAGTGACCACTGCTGGCAATGGTTGCTAACAACTACCCTCGTGTATCATGGCCTTAAAGGACTAGTGCAGTTCAGCAAATCATTAGTGAGGCAAAAAAGTTGGGTAAGCCCTTGCACTTTGTTAAATCACTGTAATCATTCTGTTCACGATAACATAAATAACAAGAATATTAATTATTTTACGTCAGGTTTCTTGACATTCCCAGGTATGTACTGTGGTTTTGGGTGACCGTTGAGAGAAACGGCATGCATAATGAATAACAATCTGAGGACATAGCTTCATCCACATTTTAATATGCACAACCCATCCAAAATAAGAACAGTTGGAGTGTATCATTAGGAACAAATGTCAAGCCATTTTTTTACGTCTGGAGAAAATACATTTTAATCACCTCACCTGCAACAAATTCTGCTCTAGGGAAAAAATATTTCTAAAACTTCGAAATATGTGGAATATGAGCCAAGGATAAGAAAGTAGACTGATAAGAGAGGCACTGCTACCCTTGGATTATCTAGAACGAAGTGGCTGGCAACTGTTACTTGAAATGCGATGTTCGCCGATCAGTCTGCTTGGTGTCGCTCATGCCATGGCATAGAGCAACCCCCCCCCCCCCCAAATTACTGTGACTTGGTATGAACAATTAATGCGATCTTAACTTATCTCCTTCAACAGCAATGAATGCTGCTATGGATGCTCCAGTATTGTGAATTATCACTGTCCGTTTGTGTCCATGATCTCATGAGAGCAGCCATGTCATGATAATGATAAACATGTTACCGTATAGGGAAACACAGAAAGTGCATCCAACCTTGTGAATTTGCAACTGGAAGAGATTTAAATAAATGTGAGCTCATCCCTTACACAGGCACACACGTGGATTTGAGAGCCCTCTGATAAAATCTGGGGTCAGGTAGAATTGTAATGGTATAATTTGTAATAAATTACACAATGTGGTCTTCATATTCTTGGTTCTTTCGGTAAAGTCACGTAGAAGGGAAACAATAAAATAATAAAAATATAAAACAATAAAATTCTCACGACGTTTCGACTGCAACACATATTTTATATTTGTATTATTTTATTGTTTCCCTTCTACGTGACTTTACCGAAAGAGCCAAGAATATGAATCCCTGCAGTCATGAAAGCTTCAAATCAAAATTTAATGTGGTCTTCATTAAAATTTCAGGTAACAATGCTGCTATAAATGTGATTAGAATTTAAAACAGTCACATTTACAACGCGCACAACATTTTGCGGACACAAACGACTGCTGTGACTGCGGTGCGGAGCCAAACTCGGCGTCACTTGAAAGCCAGGCGAAAGAGGTGTGGGGTGGGGGGGGTCCTTTCAGTGTCTCGTGCAAGTCGGGGTGAGTGAGAGAGGCTGCGAGTGTGAAGCAGGAAGATGTCACGATCCCAGGTGTCACCTCTGCCGCTCACGCTCAGTGCTGGATTAACGCGTTAAGAGACCCAGGGTGCAAGGGACACTTTTGACCTTTTGGAATGAGGAGTGGTTACTAACAATTGGGCATTTAACGATTCAAGGAATTATTCATTAAAATAGACTCTTACAAGCACTGAATGGCACATGTGAATTACATTAAAACGATAAGCTCTTGTAACTTTTAGGCGAATAGGGTGAACAAAACTGTACAAATGAGACCGATGAAAAAAACCCGATACAAAAATGAGATGGGAAAAAAAAGACTGAAAAAAAAAGACGTTTGAATCAAATCACACCCTCGAATCATGACAATTATTTGAATCATTGCTAAGGGTGGATGATTTGAAACCTAATAATGATGCTCATCAAGGGGGCGCTGAGGGGAAGCACCGTCACCTGAGTGTTATATACGTATGTCTGTTTAACTTATATTGCAAGGTACGTAGGCAACCGTGCTAATTGGAGGGTGTGGGGAGGGAGAACAAACGAAACAGAAAAAGTAGTTTGAAAGAAATGAGTTTTCAATCTAGATTTCAAAAAGGTCCTGGCGACTACGGCCACCCATGCATTAACAGAGATCCACCACGAAGGGTCCCCCAACAGCTGATACAACGGCACCCTCGTTACTATTTTATGTACAATTTTTTCTTACCAGATAAGGCCTACTGCGCTATATAGCTCTTTTTCAGAAGCGATCTGGCCACAAATACTAGCTCAACGAAGTGGCTTATCACGTGGAAATGTATAGTAGGCAAATACTCTAAACACGTTGATTCTAAATGTGGAGGGAAAAACCGGAGGACCCGGGTAAAATATCCACGCGACCACGCGGAGGAAAAAACTCAAAATTTACAGGCGTCAGGGTCGGGATCGAACCCACGACCTCCTGTATACCAGGTGAGGTAGTTAACATCTCCTAGCCACTGCGGCGCTCCATTCAGCCTTGCCCACACACCACAGCTCAGACAAGGCAAGTCTTATTTAGTTGTGTTAAACACAGAAGGGGAATGACAAACAGGGTACATAATACGGAATTACAGCCGATTAAAGCAACGCTTTCTTTCCAGAAAACCTCCGCAACCTCGCGAAGGCTGCAGCAACTGTTGGCTGGACACCATGTAAAAAACGCCTAATTCAACGCTATGTTGGAAATGACTTAAAATGAATCGTTTGCAAATAATAATTTGTCCCATGTTGCTAATATATACCATGCATTAACTGTGCTTTGTCTGCTATTGAGGACAGCCAGTCAGGAGGAACAGGGCGAGGCAGCTGAGCAAGGCCTAACGATGCATCTGTAGGCTCTTGTGCCTGCCATCAATGAGCTCCCAGTGCCAACCTAATGAGGCGCGCAGAGCGCTCGGACGTGACTGAGGTCCGCAGCAGCACTGTCTTTCTTCATTGTCCGTGGACGCACCACAATGGACACAGGGAAAGCCTAAAATACAGTTCAACTTCTTGACGTATTTGTTTGTGTAGCTGTAATTATGAGTCGATTAGTGGATTAATATCGAGCTGGTGAAAGTCACACCAGAACAGACATTTATTATTTGCATTGCGTTGGAAGTAATGGATTCACATTGCCCTCGCAGTCAATAGCCTTGGTTACGTTGACCCTGATAAAATAAATACATTAATAAATCAGGCAGAATTTTATTGTGGCCCTTGATGATCATGTTAAAAACGGTAAATCGACAGTTTAGGGCGCCATGGTGACGAGATGTTAACTACCCCGCCTGGTATACAGGAGATCGTCACTTCAATCCCGACCCTGACACCTGTATATTTAGAGTTTGCATGTTCTCCCCGTGGTCACGTGGATATTTCTCTGGGTCCTCCGGTTTTTCCCTCCACATTTAGAATCAACATGCATTCAGCATTTGGCTATAAAATCCCACACCACAAGCCACTTTTTGTTTAGCGATCATTTGTTGTCAGGCCGCTTCTGAAAAAAAGCTATATGGCTCGGTGGACCTTACCTGGTAATACAGAAATATAGTTTAGTTTATAGATTGCAGACTCATCAGTTGCGGAGTGCACTGTCAGCTCATTTTTGGGCTGCCCTGTCAGGTGACGCGAGTGGAAGGCCCTACCGTTGGCCACGTAGGTGATCTTGCAGAGGATGTTGTCTCGCATGATGTCCTGCCCATTCTCTGGTGGACTCACGAACGTCTGGCAGATCATGGCGATGTTGATCTTTACCCGCACGCACTTTCCAGTCACCTGATTGTGGACAGACATGCAGCAGCCCATCTCGAGTATGCGCCGGTGTATATTTTTACGGAGTACATTTTAGATACTTGCTTTAAATCATGGACAGGAAATGGTGCGATGCCAATGAGTATCTCAAACCACAAGAAATAGAGCAAATCTCAATGATAAAGCCTTAAATATATTCAGTTTAATAGCACTGCGATTGAAGAAGTTGCTTAAACTACATACAGCATTAGCGTAACATTTATTACTTTAACACTTCTGGGAACCTTAACTCAATTGATGATTACATACCACATTTATGCCTTTTCCACTGAATGTCATACAAGATCAATGATTTCCTGCAGCGGTCTAGTTAGTGTCTGTAGTCACATGTAACATTTATGAACTGAATATTTACAAGAATAAAATGTATGCTTTAAACATAATACCAAATGAAATCATAACTCAGTAGAAAGTAAAGTGGGCATAGCTGGATACGGCACTTTCACAGGGAGTTGTCCTAAACTGCACGCACGCAGCACACCCATGAGATGTGTAGTGACATCACGAGATGTCACTGTGTAATGCCGGCCGCCCTAGAGAGGCACGGCGTGCGGTGTAACGACATCGCGGACACCACGATGATGTGGGTGAAGTACCGGCCCTAGGAGGGGCTTGGTCAGCGCTGATTGATAGCACTGGATGGCATCATACTTGGCGTGCAATGCCAGCCCTAGAGGATCGGGTGTGAGAGTGCTGGCCATAGCGAAGGGGTTACTGAGGGCCATGCACTCTGCTTGACCTGAGAGGACACGTGACCGGTTAAGTCTACAGGGGGGCCCCAAATGGGGGCTAGGGGTGGTCACGTGGTCCGGGGGGAGATCCTGCTAGAGAGTTCTGGCAGGTGGTCGTGGCCAAGGGCTCGAAACATGATTTCCATCTCATTGATTAATTACTTCGACATCATATTTATATTTTTTCTAAGATGTTAAAGTACCATATTGCCAGTGAATGCTGTAATACAACCATATGACACGTGCAATTGACGTATCGACAAATAATACCTGAACAAACACGGAAAATATTATTGGACTGTGCGAGCATTTAAAGAGCAGCAGAGTGCACTAACTCACGAGTGAATCACTGTGTAGGCGTGCATCAATGCAGTATTAAAATTCATTTTGGCTTTTTACTACCAATGATTTTGTCCGCCTCATGCCAAGCCATGTATTTAAGTGGTGGTCTCTAAAAGAAAACCCCAAAACGTTGTCGTGTCAAGTCACGTCGGGGTACGAGCAGAGGAAAAGAAAACAAAGCCAGGCAGCTTTCCACTGCATGGCTGAGTGGCTCACTTTATGTCCATCAACCAATGCATAAAGTGCCATGGGCATTGGTCGAATCAATGAGCACAACTTGTTAATGTATTCGTGGTAACCAATCTGAGACCGTAAAACCTGCTGCAACCCAAGGTTCAGAGGTCCAGTTTCCTCAGCAGTCTCAGTTTCGGGCTTTAATAACAGAATTATCACACTCAGCGGTTACAGGATTCTAGGTTTGTCCTTTGCTATCACTGCTGGCATACTGCTTTACTTGCGTAGAGTTTCCCTATATTTGAAGACTTGTGCATAATATATTCATACGATTCTGACGAAGCTTTACGTAAACTCTCGTATTTTACTCGTCGGTTAAAAAACTCAGCACATGATTTCAGAAAAATTACAGTTGCTTCGATAAATGTTTTGCCTTCATGCAACAAAAGTCTTTCCCTGGACCCCCGACAAACGTGTAACCCAAAACGTACGGGCACATCTGCGTGATCAACGGAGAGGTTGCAGACGATCCACGTGTCGGGGTAGTTTTCCTTGGCAGCGGAGACGTTTTTCAGACAGGACAGGTACAGGGCATCTCGCTGCGTGGACGGCCATATGCGCTGCAAAGGAAAGGGCGATGCATGGCACATGCAAGGTCAGCACAAATAAACGCACGCACAAGTAATCGAACTTGCACGTAAACCATAGACATGTCACGTGGAGACGGAAGCACGTGCACAGCACATGGGGACATAGCCCCTGCATCAATCAACTGATAAAACTACCAAGGACACGCGTGTATCAGTTCCCGTCCGCCAATTGTCCACTTGCGGATCAATAATCCCTTTAATAAAGGAGATTTTAAAAAGATATATGTAAATTTCGATTTAAAGCTTTTGTGACTGCAGGGATTCATCTTCTTGGTTCTTTCGGTAAAGTCACGTACAGTAGAAGGGAAGTAATAAAATAATAAAAATAAAACACAAAAAAATAATTCTCACGACGTTTCGGCCACAACGCAAGGACGGCTGCTTGCGTTGTGGCCGAAACGTCGTGAGAATTATTTTGTGTTTTATTTTTATTATTTTATTACTTCCCTTCTACGTGACTTTACCGAAAGAACCAAGAAGAAAAATATATATTATACAGGTTTCCCTCACTTTAAGCGGGTTCGGTTTATGCGATTTCACGTTTAACTTATTTCCACCCTAAATTTGATGCGATTTGAACTCACTCATGAGACTACACGGTTGGACACGGGACAACATTGTGTGTGTACTGCGTGCGCTACTCGGCAGACAGCTGTTGTTTTTGTAACGCAAGTACCTCCCATAAAAGAGGGAAACCTGTATATACCTACAGCTATACAAATCAAAATACCCCACACATTGGAGAGCTTAAAATAGAATGCACCGACTCGTTTTCATATGGAGTGTATCCAACAAGTATATTCTGGGAGTCTTCTCTGCCGTCCATCGTATTTGACAAACAAGTTCTCTGCGCAAACCTTTTCATGCCAAAGGGCAAATTGTGTCCGTCCTACTTTTAAGAAACAAATCAGTACATATACTTATAGATACCGGAATTTAGAAACGAGGTACAAATTGCCTGCAAGCACTGAAACTGAATGCATTCATTCAATTAAACTGCATTCCCCAAGAAGGTAATGGTCATCATTTACATGTTTTGGGATGTCATAACAATGTTACAAATGTCTTGTCATCTTGTAAGGAAGTGTTTTTTTACACCATGTTGCAATGCCCAATGTCGCTGTGCTGCACATATCTAGAGACGCATAAGCAGAGTGATTAGTATTGTCAATTGTCTTACCTTGTGTGTTTGATATATTATAACTGTGTTGTCTGCCAGTGTTTCCACCACTCTGAAGGATTCAAGGGTTGCTGCAAAGAAAAACAAACACAAAAAACATTTATATACACTGCTATTTTTGTTACATTTCTAGCCAGCTTGTACCTTGGATGAATGTGAACATTTTCCCCACATTGTGAACACTGTCGTCGTTTCAATCCGATTTTGACTCCGCAATATTGACCATTGCCTTTTAAATCTCAATGACAAATAGGAACATTTCACTTGGGAATAGTCGAGCTACAGGGGCGTGATCGGCCAAATGTATCTCAGTAAATTTGGTGCAAATGGTCAAATCCACGATGGGAAAACCTGCAATGGGCAAAGTTTTGGTGTATTTGGTAAATTTGCCATGTAATTTTTCCAACCAATTAGGGCATTCCTAATTATAGACGAGATATTAATGCGCAGCTTCTACTGTACTCTACTGTACAAGTGGACCGTGCACTACTTGTCGACACAGAGATGAGAATCCTAGCAGAGTCAAACCGCGTATAGCCAAAACATCACCCCCAGTGCAAAACATACCTCAAAAAGTAAACCGCGTATAGCTGAAACGCATGTTCGATAAAACAGCATTGGGCAAGGTATGAATTTAATTCCATTACCTGGCAATGGATGGAAGAACTGGCCATCCTCTACCCATCTAGCCCAGACTGCCAAGGACAGATCTTGTAATTCAGCAGCTAATCTGTATTGCAAGTTGTGTTCGGTAATAGCCTACTTATGTTTTCCATTCGAAGAAAGCTACGTAAAGTTACATGTGATGATAAAGAATGAGCTTTATCCACATCCAAAATGTTATAAGAACCGAGACGATGCTACTTTACCTGAGAGAGCCAGCAGCCTAAGTCAAAGTTACATCATTTCCCCTCGGCCCAACACTACTGGAGAGATTGCTGCTGCTCATCCCCTCCGCCATCCCGCCGGGTGCATCCACTCACTCTCCCAGTCATTCTTGACGCCCACGTCCCAGAAGTAGTGGCACAGCTCATGGCCGGTGACGCCCTTCACGGTGTGTGTGGCTTTCAGAGGGTCCAGCACGATGCCATTGTCCTCCACCTCCCGCCGGTAAACCTGCAAGCGCCGATCACAGGCACACGCGCGCCGATCACACATGCACCGACCAGAGGCACACGCGCGCCGATCACAGGCACACGCGCGCCGACCACACGCATGCACCGATCACAGGCACACACGCGCCGATCACACACAAGCGCCGATCACAGGCACACGCGCGCCGATCACACGCATGCACCGACCGCACACCCACAGCTAACCACGTAAATACAAGGCCTGCATGGCACAGATAACTGAAGGTCATTTGAAATAGTTCAATGCAGGAACTCCTCTTATCCATGGTCCGATAACCCCATTATCTGCAGGTAGGGTCCACGAAAACTCCAATTACTCCTGGCCCTCTTAGTTCCAATTATCCGCCATTATCCACGACTCTACTCAAGAGCAAGCACGGAACGGATCTGAATTAACGCAATACAATCTTACGGTATCGTGGAGCCGTTCAACATTCCAAAGTAAATTCAGTAATGGCTTCTTTGAGTGGCAAGCATACAATCCTCTCAAATCAACCAATTATCATGGCATGAAGCTGAAAATAGAAGGCACCGGCACGCTCACACTTGTGTCAAAAAACACTGTTCAAAGAATTTCAGAATCGTTTTAACACAGGGATGAACACTGAAATATATGATAATCAAACAGTAAACATTTCATCATGTTTCTTATTAAATCATTCCACACCATGAGCTATGTCTATTTTATTTTGAGAAAAAATTACTACATAAATAATAATTCCTCGTTAATCAGCATTAAATTAACTTCAAAATTAGCTTTTCTTAAAACGTTTGCTGTTAAATTACCATACCAGCAAAATTACGAGGGCAATGAATACAGAAATTATGATGCAAAGCCACGGACACTGAAAAATCACCCGAGCAATGTTTCAATTAATATTGAGCCAGACGGGCACGTGAGAAATTAATTCATGTGTCCAAGATGACAACTAAGTACGTAAAGATTGTTCATCCTGCAGTGATTGAATGCATTGTCAGGATTTAGCATCGTGATTTAATACACGAGGGAATTCTGCCTTGGTTGGTTTGTAGAATCTATGATATGTGCTTACTTCCTACTCACCTGTCAACCAAATTCAACCTCTCAAAACAAGCGACGTTGGTTGTAGTAGACGTCAACTGGCCGAGCACAAGCATGCTAACAATATGATTGCAGGTATTCCAAACTTTGTTAAACAATGTTCACAGTTGTCACAATATTTCACTTGCATTCTCCAAAAAATTTGGGGTGCTTCGGTGGCGAGATGTTAACTCTACCTCGCCTGGATTGCAGGAAGTCACGGGTTCGATCCTGACCCTGACACCTGTATATTTGGAGTTTGCATGTTCTCCATGTGTATTTTTCTCCGGGTCCTCCGGTTTTCCCCTCCACATTTAAAAATATGCGTTTAGAGTATTTGGCTGCAATACATGTCCACATACCACTCGATTGGGCTATCATTTGTGGCCAGGTCGCTTCTGAAAGAGAGCTATATAGCTCAGTGGGCCTTACCTGGTAAAATAAAATAAGTATAGTAGTACAGTTTAACTTTCACGTATCTTTACACCGGCACGAAATAAAAACGTAATGACAGCTCACTGTCATCTTGGGTGCAAAATCTAGAAGGTAAAACATTGCACACGAGTACTCGGGCCAGATCACAGTGACTAGATTATTAATTATCCAGTCTCTTATTGAAATACCCTCATAGAACCTCAGATTAGTCCTGTGGTAATGTGAAAACACCATTAAATACATCGACAGTATGATACAAAATAAATGAAATACCTCATGACCAAGTACACATGGGCAACTGTGTCAGTGTCCTGATTTTGTTTATTTTTTCAACCAAATAGGCACCACCAAATTGCCCTTTCTGAATGCCAGATATCCCTCATGTACAATGCTGTATATCAGTAGGGGAAAACTCGTGATATGAATGATATCAGAGATGACATAAAGCTGATCTCATTCAGCATAAAAGTCTGACTTTAAAACTGTTCAATACCGTACCTTCATATCGCCCTCCTCCACGATGAGCTGCCAGTTGGCGTCACCTCCAAGATCTTGAAGAGAGTACTCCATGTGCTTCTGAATCAGTTCCTCCAACTGCCGTATATAAAGAGCAGGGAAGAGATGGAGCACTCCGCTCAGAAACAGCCGTACAACTCAAAAGCATATTACATTTTCGAGCAAAAGGCAAGGCAAAACAGGTGGTCATGGCAGATGTGCAGCACAGCATGCTTTTGTTGAATTATAAAGGCGAGGAGGATTCATTCGATGCAACATGCTCGCCGAATTGCGTACTGAATGAACAAACATCTTGGCACGATGTCACGTCGCTAATAACAATGATAAACAGACAATGGAACAAGAACATAAAACCCTCCAAATTAGCTCTGCACACTGCAGGGACAGGTACTGCTAATGAGCACCTATTAATGCCGGCGAGGGCACACAAGGGGGTTGTGAAGTCAGGACTATGCCTGTCTAACTTGGTCAACCCAGTGCTTATTTGGCCAATTCCATTCATTAGTGTGGCAAGTGGGAGGATATCAGCATACCTGGAGCAAACACAAAAAGGGAAGTATAACACTCAAAGTCGTGCACAGGTGGGTTAAAGAATCCAATGCTATACGGTCATCTCCTGGCCACCTTACAGCTCAAGCCTATAACACCTGGTGCTCCCAACCAAGTAGTAACCGGGCTCAAAGCTGCTCAACTACTGAGACCTGACGAGATTGGGTGCATTCAAGGTGTGTCCTGGTCGGAGATAGAAGGCGAGTTTCAAATATCGTTGGCCTCATGAAAGCCCACTGCGCTATATAGCTCTTTTTCAACAAGTTAAACAACGAATAAAACACAATGAGAGACCTTTAACACAGATAAAACTTACATTATGCAGTTAATCACAAGCTTGCTTTTAAAACCACACACACACACACCATTGTGCGTGGCGTAGATCAGAATCAGAATCTTAATTTAGACTGGAGGAACCCAGAGCTCTAAAGCTCTTTGTCAAAGATGTCCCAGCAGGGGCAGGTCAGAAAGTTACAACAACAACAAGCAATACAGAAACACGATAGAAGTGCCAAGTATCGGAAAGGTAAGCAAATCATTTTTTAAAAAAGGTCAACTATTTTTATTTTACCAGATAGCTTCTTTTTCAGAAACGACCTGGCCACAAATGATAGCTCAATTAAGTGGCTTATCGTGTGGAAAGTTATAGCAGCCGAAAGTTATAGCAGCGGAATCATCTAAATCATCTAAACACCTGCTGCTTTCTGAAAAGAGCAACCCACAATGACCAACATAGTTCACAATCGCTGAAGAGGAACAAGGTACGCATTCCTGCAACAGCCATCCGCATGCCACATGGCATCACAAGGGGAATACATTCCCCGCGGTGATCTCTGTATCAAATGATTAAGTTTTCATGAATGTTCAAGAACAAAGACAAAACTCACGATACATACATTTTTTTCATTGAATTACGCCGACAGAAATAAAACGTGTGAATGCATAACATGTTTAATTAATATGAGATATATATACACGTGATAAGCCACTTCATTGAGCCATCAGTGGCAGCCAGGTCACTTCTGAAAAAGAGCTACATAGCTCAGACGGCTTTACCTGGTAAAATAAAAAGCTTAGTTCGTATTCGCTAAGAAATGTAAACTTACATCATGTAATACCGACCACGGGTATGGTATAAACGGATGAGCGATCAAGATATTAATTACCAATTTAAATGAAACGGTATATTTTCATCAATTTACAGGTAATAGTTATACTAATGCTAAAATAGGAAGTTAATAAACACCAAATGTCAGGTTACTCTCATAAAAAAAAATTGCCTTCTAAGACAATAGCTCTGATGCTTATTTAAAAAAAAATAAAGGATGAAGCCATTGTAATGCCACAATTGGGGGCCACATTTTTGTGATCGTCCCTATTTGGCCGAGGGCCTTGGACTATCAGCAGTGCTACAATATTACGCAAAAAGACACCCAGGAGCCAAGCAAGTGACTGTCAAAAACACAGGCAGGAAAGGCAATCAGAAAAACTGTTTAAAACTGCACTGGCTTGATACCACGGGGGTATGGCCAAGGTACTGGGCCACACCAGACATCCTGCTTTAGATAATAATCTTCTCGCGTATGGCGAAACCCAAAAATGTGTTCTCGTCCCAGGTTACCGCATCGGGAAATTTCGTCGCATGTGGCAAGAGTGACTGTCATAGCTACAGCTCGGTTACTGACAACTACACAAAAACACACTGAAAATAAACTGCGAATGTCTCACACATTTACTGTGATCCAGTCATGAGATAGAAATTTAAAAAATGTATTGCTTAAAAACTTCTAATTTATTTCAGGTGGGCGGCTTAGGGTTTAGGGTGCCGAGCCTTCACTGCTGGAATCCTGGGTTTGAATCCAGAAAACCTTTCATGATTAAACCTGGTTCTCAACGGTATGTTAAACTTCTTTTGCACAGTACGTAGGCAACCGTCATAACCGGAGGTGCAGGGAAAGGATAACAAACTAAATACAAAAAGCAGTTCAAAAGAAAGTGCAAAGTTCCAGTGCCTTCCTGATATCGGAAGGAGTTGATAACCTCAGGGTCTCGCCCTGGTCAACAAAATAAACAATAGTTAAATCCACTTTTCACTTAGTTTGACTACATTGTATTTGAGCATTCCCTCTGCAGCAAGGTGTGTAGGAAGGTTTGATTTGTGACATGTGTTTTTCTTGAAGACATGGGGTGAGCACGCGCTACTCTGTGAGAATTGTGAATGGATCTTTCGCAGTGGAATGATCCCAAAAACACAACTTGAATCAAATCCTCAAGGCAAAAACACCTTGAGCGTGCTCTGATGTCTGTACACAATTGCTTTGTTCTCTAGCTAACGTTAGAGGCACAGTTATTTGTCATCAAAGTGTGAATAACAAAACCAATATATAGATGCTATTTCCTTATGTCATCAAGTAAAGCATTTGAACAGATGAACATGTGAATCAAAGCAAAACAAGGTTTCTCACCAATTCTATTACAGATACCCATCCAGAGTTACCTGTTCAAAGTTTTGAAATTACAGCACCCATTCGGAAGGTCACAATGCCACACCTATCATGCTTTTGAAGGCCATAAAAAATGTATGACTCAGCAACTGAATTAAAAACAATAATATTTACGTGAATACCACATATTTGAAATCAAATCGCATCTGATGGTTAACGCCACTCCAACTTGTCATTATCCCAAGGAATACCCCCTAAAATGATGAAATGCTTGTTTATCACACAGTCACGAATCTTGTTTTTGCACACTTCTTAGGAAGTGCGCGACGGAGACACGATGTAGTTGCTCGCGGTTATACCACACTCGCTCCACCTTGGCGCTGCTCAAGTCAAATCCTAAGGCTGTAAACAACCGCTGGCTGAAAACCGAAGTTTTGTTTGGTATTCACACAAAACCAATTTTCCACAAACAGAAAGGTTGTGATGTTCAAATTCCATAGTAATTTAAACAATGTTCAAGGTCTAATAACTGGCCTACAATAAAACACAACTACATCAAAAGAAAGGCATCCGAGGTCAAGTGGCAGATTGTTATGAAATAAGTCAAATCAAAGTGAGAGTACTGAGGGTAAACTGAATTCCATCACGGAATGTGGAATTGCCACAACCACCAAAAATGAGTGCTACCGACGCTTCGATTAAAATATTCCCATAGAAAAAAACTTTATATCCCCATATCGAGTTTCACAATGTTACCGAAATACATATATTGTCCAATAATTCCCTCTTTTGTTTAACTCGTGCATCCTCCTCTTATTAACCTATAACCAAGCAGGAGTAAACAGTGGCCTGGAAAGAAATAGCAGGATAAATAGAGAGTGACTTACAGAAAATTCAGAGCGACAGAAATATAGTCACACATAAACAGTGACATTGGGACAAAAAGAGATCCTTTCAATAGATAACATCAAGACATAGTGGGACAAAGAGCCTCAGAGATACAAAGATGCGGATACACGGACAAAAAGATAGTGAGACAGGACGAGAGAAGTGGACACAGAGACACAAAGACACACACTTAGACAAAATATAAAACAGAGAGATATAGACATGTATAGACATTGAGAAATATAGAGATACACTGAGGCACAGATACTGCAACATAGACATACAAACATTGTGCTGGAGTACTCATCACACACCAATACCCGCCATTCGCCACTAAGTGACGGTGACGTCACCACAGCATCTGTGCCAGGCCAGGTGCACTTTGAGGCAACGTGAAGTGTCGAAGGCTCGCTGACAGACACAATGAGACTGACTATGGGAGACAGGCCTTGTGACAGGCCTCCGATGGCATGAAGAGGGCACAAAGGTTCACACATTCCGCGCGCATGAGCGTTAATTAGGGGAGTGAGGCTCCAACTGATGATGCCTTGTTCTATGAAAGGCCACTCATGCCATCACATTTAGAAATTACATTTCACAACTCCCTGCAATAACAAAATGTGCCTAATTAAAACCAGCCTTCATAAATTGCAATAAGTCAAATCCCTGCCATTTCTTTTACACTTGCACATACGTTTTGAACATTTCCCAAAAAGCAAACAACTCTAATCAAACTTTAAACGTGCGGTTTCATAGCCAATACAATGATCCATATTGTTTTTAGGCGAGGTTACGCGGTAATTTTATGCCACAATCTGTCATTAACCCTGAACAACCGCACGAGATTGTCACGTTTATAAAGATATTAATTACACGCGCCAGTGTATCGATTAATTTTTGACCGATAATGCTCCTCACCGGTGGCTTAGGACTGAATTTAACATCAACATACTAAAGCACACAGGCCCAAACCACAAATAAGTGGAAATGACCCATTCTGTGGCAGTTGGTGATGTCACAGCTGGTACTTAAAGCAGTCAACTGAAGCAGCCTCGCTCCATTTCCGAGTTCACTGCCTCATGAAGCTCAAAGTTTGAGCGAAATGTAATTCGTCGATGTTAAATAAAGTCATGAAAAATTCTTAAACAACCAGTGAGCTGTATTGGTCAGAATTAGCACAACACATTGGCACCTGAAAGTAAATATCTTTGAATACCTGACGACCTTGTCAGGTGGTGAATGGTCAAGTAAGTATGCGAGATTGAGGCCCCATTAAAGGAAAAAAAAGGTAAAGAAATGTCACGGCACCTTTGTGTGCTTTCAAACTACTTCGATGTGGTGCTGTTGCCATGGCGCTGTGGCATCAGAGCGTCTGACCATGATTCTCAATTCTATTCGCCATCAACAGACGAGTCGAATCGAGGTAAGGCAGCCAGGGGTAATTGACACTTGGTGGATGTCAACAAGGCGACAGCGATTTGTTTTTCAGATCACATTCCCCTTTGGCAACTGACGAGTTTCCTGTTTTCATGATGCAATGTGTTTGTACTCTCCGCACTTTTGGCATTCCCTGATCTAAGACTGGTGAGACAAGGCCATAAAGAAGGACATCTCTGGTGTAGACCAATTAGTTTCAAAGACAATGCACTTATTACCAGAGCATGTTTGTTTGCATGTTTTGCCACAAGTAGGTGTGGTTAACGCAGATTTGATGACTTCAAAAGGCATCTATTTGGTGTTAGAACATCTTAACACCTGTTTATTGCTAGAAAGGGTAACACCTGTTCTTATTATCCTGTCTTTGTTTGAAGAGTGCACATGCTTAATTAACATGGCAGCAACGTGCAAGCAAGCAAGTATGAATGGATTATTTCCCATTTCGACTTCTTTTGATTGACGATTGTGCAAGAAGAACCCAAAGTGTCGGCCTTTGTTTAGAAAATTAATCATGAAAGAACAAAGCTCGATCAAAAACGAGCTCTTTAGTGCGGTAAGAAGCCACGAGAGTAATTCACTTAAAAAAAACAGCCGACGACACACAAAAGGTTCTTCTTTAAGAAACGGTGGCTTCAGAGTGCAGCAATGAAATAGCGCACAGTACCCGGGCCATGTAACCGTGCACATTCTCAGAGGTCGTTACGAGATCAATGGAAGACATTGAAGACGAGCGACTAATTTTCTTCAACGTAAAACAATTGAGAGAAGAAAACGGGGAAGAAAGTAAACGTTCATCGTGACACACAACGAACACAATGTTCATACAGCAGCTAGCAATGTACCTGAAATATGGAATTAACTGGAGTTGTTACCGAGACCACGCGGGACAGAGGCCAGGGGAACGAGCAACCACTTGTACCCCCCGCCGCCCTTCCACCACTGCCAAACACAGCGTGTTTTCAAATTGCTCATTTAGTACCTGCCTGGGAGTTAATGGTGGGTACAGGGTCCTCTGCATTCGTAGTAAATGTGAGCATCCACCGAATACAGCAGCCGGTGAACGGTTCACTTAGTTAGACCCAGTAATGCCCATGCATGGAAGACTAACATTACACAAGCCACTGACAGAACACACCCATTACACAGGCATACATGCTGACACACTCAACAAACACACACACACACATATATAAAAATAATATATCTAGGAGCATTATATGTCGCTTCCTTTAGAGTCACTAACACCTTAAGACCAACCTTAAACACTTGCGCTTAACATGAAGCACAGTGATGAACACGCTGAGATTCAAAGCAACACATTTGGGGCCATGTTTTCACAAATAAACAATACACAAATGTCAACTGATCTTGCTTTAAGTACCAATGATCATCTTTCCAGTTGAGCAACAACCGTTTCTCTTTCGTGCAACTTGAATTCATAAAGTTCTTATATTGGGTTTTATAGTTCAACATCGGAGCTGTGATGGCGCTCTCATGCTGCCATGGAGGATATCATCTGTTTGGAGCGGCAACACTGACATTTCGGCCTTAAAAAAGTGTCGCGTGTTGTCAATGGCTGAACAAATGAAACCCCCACCAAATGAAATTTGGGTTTTCCACTTAAAATTGACCTGGCTCCAGCTGGTCCCGGGCCTCCCCTAGGACGCCTCAGCCTCAAATGAGTACCTGGTGCGGTGTGTAATCATTACCACTGGGGAGACGATGACAGCCGAGCGTGGTGCTGGCCATCCTCTCCCTCGTGTGCCGCGCCGGGCTTCATCGGTGCTCGCTAACAACACTCGCCCCAAGAGTCTGTTAAGGCTGTAGGGGAGATCTCTCTCTCTTGCCTCCTGGCGTGACCGCTCACAGCCATGTGCCCATTGTTATGTTGGCAATGGCCACGAGGTTGGGAGACGATGGGGATGTTGCGGGTGGATGGGCGGGGACCATTGATCAGCGACGGCTACTCCCACGGGTAACGTGGGAGTCGTTTAGCGTCTTGAGATGCTGTTACTTGGACACCCTGCAGGGTGAATTATTGCAATTTTCACACCATATCATAAAGAAAGTTTTGCTGGCTGGCGTGGGAAGCAAATGTGCAAGGGCGGTGGTGATGTCAACGCATACGTATGCGCGATGATGTCACCTGCTCCCTCCTGTCCGTGTATCCCTCTCAAATGCGCGGGCGGCGCTAGTAATATATAAAATAACAAATGTTATCAACCTCCACTGGACATATCAAAGTCTATATCAAAAGATGTTGTCCAAATGTCAACATTACGTTTATTTCTGTCTATACAACAAACGCAATGGGAATACCACCTTAATTGTCGTTTAGTGTGACAACGACATCAATTAACTCAGCGCCATTTCACACAAGCAGTCTAAGGGCCTATTGATGAAAGCGTTTGTCTTGGGCGCGTTGTTTCCACCACTCGGAGAGACTGCTCCGAGTGCCGGCTACTGCGGCAGCACCGACCTGCTGGGAGAAGCGGTGGTTGCCCACGGACGCGTATGTCTCCGTGGAGGCGATGGAGGTAGGTACGATGCTGCGAGTCCGCTCCACGTGGATCTGCACACAACGCGTGTGGGCGTATACAAATGGTGGGGGGTGGGGGGGATATGAAATTAAGTCACAGCTGCCTCAGGGCTCTGAGCACCGAGCCAGTACGGCTGAAATTCTTTGGTTCGAAACCGGGCAGCGACCCACGATCAAACCGATTTCTCACATGTAGCGAATTGATTGTCTCAGTCCACCTCGACAACAGATGACACGGGGGGGGGGGGGGGGGGGACGCATTAAATGGGGTTTCACTTAATTTGCCTGAATTTCAGTTCTGAAGAAAATAAGAAAAAAAATAAATGTCCCCCCAAAAAAGACATGGAGAGATGCATGCTTCGAATTACACTGATAGAGAGCAGGTAAGTTACATTGTTAAAACTGTTATGGAAAGCATTTGGGCTTTGGCAAGACACGTTGAAAGATTGGATGATGGACGATGGTCAAGAAGAGTGACAGTGGCATCAGAGAGGACATCCACCAAGGAGATGGAGCAATTAAATAAATGCGCGTGTGGGTGCTCCGTGGATTATTTCATCACAGGATCATGAGAGATGGTGATGGCTTGGGGAATCCTTCATCCAGCAGTCGAGTGATCATTAAAGTCAGGTGGACAAAGCTTGTGGAGTTCTGCTGTTGTGCAGCACAGTGAGCATGCTGGATGGCAGTGTTGTGTGGAATTGGCTTGTCAAGCTCTCTCAATTCCGCTGCACAAGAGCACATTTGCAGTCGGAGAAACGTAAAGCAAGAATTGGGAAGAAAATTCTACCCCTCTCTGTGACCCGATCCCAGCTCCACCGTAACTCCACCCAGTATGGACGTTTTGCAATGCGGAATGAAGGTATGGCAGAATGTGATTGATATGCGAGCAGATAATTTTTACTAAATGTAATGGAATGCCTGTATAGTAAACGTATTTGTCATTCCACCAACACCAGGCTTCATGGAATGCCAAGTAAACAGGGCAATTTGTTAAATTGCACTGTCAATTGTCAATGCACTGCTGGATAAAGCTCTCCCCATATCATGTGGTGCCGCGGTGGCGAGATGTTAACGACTGTACTTCGCCTGGTATAAGGTCGTAAATTCGATCCCAACCCTGATGCCTGCACATTTGGAGTTTTCATGCTTGTTCTCCCTGTCGTCATGTGGATTTTTCTCCAGGTCCTTCTGGCTTTCCCTCCACATTTAGAAATACGAGTTTAGAGTATTTGGCTGCTTAGGAAGCCTCGAGTCATTCATCCTCACAAGGTGACCTGCCCCCATCTGAGTTGATACTTCATCACGATGGCCTCTATGCTGGATGAGTTGGATCGCTCCAGGACACTGATATTAGTTTGTCTTTCTTCCCAGGTGACGTTTAGTATTTTACTGAGACAGCGTTGATGAAACATTGAGAGATTTTACGTGTTTACGATAAAAAGGTCCAGGTTTCTGCACATTATAAGAGGGTTGGAATGATCACAGCGTTATACAAAGCCACTTTGGTCTTGGTGGTAATGTCGTGGTCTTCAAAGACCCTGTTCTTAAGTTTGCCAAAGGCAGCACTTGCTCGGGCAATCTGATGTTGGATTTCATAATAAATTAAGACATTGCTAGAGAGATGGCTGCGTAAGAATGGGAAACTGGGAACGTTTTCCAGTATTGTATTGTTGGTAATGATTGTAGGGGGTGGTAGGTGTCCTCTCGGAGCTTGTTGAAATTATCTTTGTTTTGCTGGTATTCGATGTTAGACCCATCCTGCTGTAAGCACCTCTAAATATGTTGACGATGACCTGAAGGTCAGTTTCTGAGCAGGCATCATCAGCATATTGGAATCCAATAACGGACGTGATTGATGTTTTCGACTTGGCTCTGAGACGGTTGACGTTGAATATGTTCCCGTCTGTCCTATACGTGATAGTCATGCCGCCTCTGGGAAGTCTGTTGTCTGTCACATGAAGCATTCCCACCAGGATGATGGAGAAACGAGTTGGTGCAATAACGCAGCCTTGCTTCACACTGGTCCTTACTTCGATTGGCTCCGAGGTTTCACCATCAGAGAGGATGACAGCCTTCATACCGTCATGCAACAGACGGAGGGCGTTAACAAATTTTGTTGGGCAGCCATATCTCAGAAGGATTCTCCATAGTGCTTCACGATTAACAGAATCGAAAGCTTTAGTCAAATCAAAGAAGGCCATGTACAATGGTCGTCTCTGCTCCTGGCACTTCTCTTGGAGTTGACGGGCTAAGAAGATAATGTCTGAGGTTCCCATGCCAGGTCGAAAGCCACTCTGCGATTCAGGAAGGAGCTTGCACAGCACCAGCGACGATATATGTCAACACAATAGTGCAGAGACTCGTAATGCAGTCATGCCACACTACATAGAAACCTTAAAATCACTCAAGCAAAACAAAACCGGTAGAACGAGCAGTGGTACGAAACCAGAGGGAGAAAAAGCTTTTCAAAGACACCTTCCAGAAGTAAACAAGCCTCCCTTAACATTACAGCAAAAGGCATTTCAAAAATGTGAAGCTTGCCCGGGGGCGTGATACGACTGCTCCCCCTGAGAATGCCCACAGCCCCTGCCGACGTGCCTCACCTATGCTTCCAATTTCCACACAAGTTCAACCTGAAATTCCAACTGTCGGTGAGACTTCACGAAGTCAGCTTGTTGTTCTTTTTTATTACGTTGAATTTTCCACACGTTACGCGACTGTCATCTTGGTAGTGAGCTTAACTCCCCCCCCCCCCCCCCCCCCACCACATTCATCATTAACACTGCCTTAAAAGAAAACATTTACAACAGGCTATATGTTATTTGGTTCTTTCGGTAAAGTCACGTAAGTGAAAATAAAATAAAAATAACGTCGCGATTTAGTTATTTATATTTTATTTTCACCTACGTGACTTTACCGAAAGAACCAAAGAGTATGGATCCTTGCAATGACGAAAACTTAAAATCTAGAATTAATGGCTACATGTTGTGCAATAACCCTTCTTCATAGCAGATTAAAAAAACTGCGAGTCTGATTGTGAGCTGTCATCACAGGCATTTGCCCAATATCATTTAAATATTTTAGCTTGCGCAACTACGAGACATTGGCTTCTTCCATATGCTCAGGTGAGATGGGAGGCTGCGGCCTATATATCTGCCAAGTAAATTGAAAGAGCGAGACATAAGTAAAGTGTAAAACCAACTCTTTATAATGCATGTTATTGCAGGCATTTGGTGCTTGGGCTGAGACCATTTTATTTCGCAATAGAACCCCGTTCCATTTCAGCTTGCGGTCAAGAATTCAAACCCAAAATGCTGACAACCCTGGCTCAATGCCGTGACATGGGCCCGATTGCCCTCACCTGTCCAACCACATTGCAAGCCAACGCTGAACATTAAACTCATCTTACCGTATTTAAATGGTCTGATTTTCATTTAATACAGGTGCTGTTAAATTACCGAATAAGAAAATGACACTCCAAACTTTAACACGCTCCAAACTACCCGTTTCTTGAAAATGCTTAAAGGAATTTGAAGCCAAAGCGAGTCAAGCTTGTCAATAAACACAAATGCTGTATGTAAACTATGAATATCAATCAATGACCCTCCAAAATGTTATTTCATATGCGTACAAACTTTATAATCAAATATTTTCAATTAACCGTTTATGTAATATTCGTTGTTGCTTGATATTGAGTGCAACACCGCATGTGAAAATTCTATGCATCATTGAAATAAACACGATTTACTAAGATAATGCTCACTGTTGTTTACCTGCTCCTCTATCTTGTCTTGCCGGTCCAATGCAGCCTCCACGGCATCGTAGAATTCCTCATCGTTCATGATGCTGTTGGGCCCTTCCTGCACGTGTGCGAAACAGAAGTGACACAAACGAGCATTTAAAAACGAGAAAAATCTTTCATGAAAAAATGTACTTCTCGAACCCCAAGCAAACAGGATGTAATTCAACGTGCGTTTGGCACTTGCACCACCTTTGAGCATGGGGTGTTCACCGCAAAAGGCATCGGTATAAATCTGAGGAAGAAGTGTTTGCACACAGGGTAATGAGGGAGCCCAGAATGGGCGTGGTGACAAAGCAATGCAGGTAGGGGGTGGGACAAAAAGTGGATATCTTCGCAAACGTTAACCGGACAACCAATTGCCAGAATGTCAGGGACGTGCACTGGCTGCCGGTCTGGTAGGCAGTGAAGCTCCGCCTCGGAGTTTGCAGCCAAGAAATCTGCGCATCCTGCCAGTTGAACAGGTCCCGTGAGAGCCCAGCATTAAACATTCCTTATAAAATTCCGATTGGTCTATAATCGAGTAATTCACCTGGAATTACAGAACCCGCAGCAAAGCTCATTCACCAGTCAGTGTGCTAATCGAACTTCCGATTGGTACCGCTGGCTACGTATGGTACGAAAGAAGTTCACACATACATACATACATAGTACATCCTGGCTGCGTGTAAGCAAAACACGGTGAGTTTAAAGTACTACACCACAAACATAAAGATAACTAGATCTGAGTATGATGAAAATACACGAAAGAACAATATTAAACACCAGTTGTGATGATGACGATATATGATCACTAATGGAAGGCTAAGGTCCAGAGAGTGTGAGAGAGAGTGTGAGAGAGAGTGTGAGAGAGTGTGAGAGAGAGAGTGAGAGTGTGAGAGAGTGTGTGTTGATGTCACCCACCTGCCTCTGCTGCTAGGCTCCCAAAGTTACTACCAAGTTCACACCCAGCATCCTCCCACGGCATCCTCCTCCCTGTCAGATTTAAGGCTTGACCTTCGTTGGTGACCTCCAGATAGCTACTCCAATGGCTGTGTTGGTAACCTGCCCTGTTCCTCCTCCTTACGTCCCCCCCCCCCATCCATCACAATCTCATCTTCCCGAGTACATTGATATTCTTTCCACGTTGATGATGCTGTCTTAACCATGACATTGCTCGTGTATTACATGTCCACCAGAAGATTATATTTGTTTGCTTCAATAAAGGTCAGCCCTGTGACCAATACAGTCACACATTAGTCCTGTCTCAAACGCCCACCTCTTAATAATAAACTTGATCTCTATCGCCTTTTAAAAGTGATTTACGTGGTGTATTAGAAAGGTGTCTTGACTACCTACCGCATTAAACACATCACTATGTATGTACACAAAGTCCTCTCCTAATTTTATAGGTCAACAAGGCCCTCCCCCCCCTAACCACTGTCATCAACTTCATATTGGAGAGCTCACACAAAGGCTCCAGTGTCTAGCCTCAGCCAAGGCCCTCGCTCAGACCGTTGGGGTAAGTGCTGTTAGCGAGTAGCACCCTATGGAGGTCGGCACGAATCACGAGGGGTGGGGTGGCTAGCACCATGCCCAACCGCCTTTGTCTCCCCAATGATGATGTTTACACACAGTGGTTACCCATTTGAGGCTGAAACGACCGATTAAAAAAAAAATCACTGGTGTTGGCCAGGAGCGAGAATCCAACTCGGGTCACCAGGTTCTTAGGGCAGCACGCCAACCACTGCACCCCTGCTAAAACACATCTGCATCACCTACACTCAAAGTCTCCCAGGAACAAAAAGACCCATTGTGACCGCTGGATGTTTTGCAGTCTCCATCCGGTGCGTAGTGTTAATAACCAGCTAAGTTTGAAATTGAATGGCACACGGGCATGCCATTCAATATTTTACTGTGCCATTGTAATTGTTAAAACAGTAAAATGACGATGATTTTAAATTGTTACAGCAAAGTAAACAGAGATTACAATAATAGGTGTGTACATTTTACAGTCACACAATTTAAACAAAAAACAACAGATTGTAATCCGAAAAGAAGTTAGCACTTCAAAGCAGCTGCATATTTATAACTTTGGTTGAAAACAAACAGGCAAAAACGTATTTATTATTTATACAAACCCAATCTCCACAAAGCATTTACATAACATGCAAAACGAGTGTGAATCTACAGAGGTGCTCATGACAATATTTCAACCCACTCTGGTTGCTGACATTTCAAACTGTGACTCATCGAAAAAAGTATAAAAACATTTTTTTTGTTATATAACGTCATAAAAATGTTAAAAACACTTTAAAAACATTGTTGTACATCAACATCTTGCAAAACAAATTTCACAAATACAGCACAATGTCGCATATCCAACTTTTCGGGGTTCGAGTATGGGCGAATATGTGAAAAGGTTGGATACGTGAACGTCTAAAGAAAATCATTTACACAGGTGCGTACAAAAAGTTACAGTACAAAACATAAAGCATAAGCTGCTTTAACTGTACGGAACATGTTTTACGGAACTTTAAAAGCAAATGTTTGCAACATTAAGAGCACATTAATGTACGTGAAAAAATTAAGTCTGATTCGGTAACATCTTTAAAAAATGACAGGAACACCACGGCACCAATGATGCACTGGGTGCGGGCTTTTAATTGGTCAGGGAGGACACGCGCGGTGAGATTTTTGCACCGTGTTCTTTTTTTGCAGCACACCTGTCCACAAATTAAGGCAGAGCATCCACAAGGTCAACCCCAAAGGGTTCAAAATATCAAGGACACCCCCCTCTACTGAAAAACCATGGGGAAAAAACCCCCCAAGAAACTGAGGCAGAAATGCAATAAACTGAGAGACACACCCAAGAGACTGAGGCACAAAAACATGTAAACTGTCACGCCAATGAAGTCGAGCCGACTTTTGTAAACAAAACGGAGGGGTTACTAAATGAGTTGGTGTAGCAGCATTAGGCTCATGTCCACCCCCATAGCAAGTAAAATATAATTAGTTTGTCGATGTTTTTTTCATTGAAAGGCAGCGAGTAAATACGAAACCAGCAACAACAACAAAAACATGACAATCCATTGCACGTCTGCGAGACACTCAAACATGTGAACAAGCGTGAGTCTCAAGGACAAATCTTGAGACTTGACTTATGTATGTTGAACTTCTTTCGCACCGTACGTAGCCAACTGTGCTAATCGAAGGTGCGGGGGAAGGACAACAAGCTAAACACAATGTATGACATGTGAGCAGGTACCAGCTGGAAGGCCTACATCGATGCAGAGGATGCACTTCCAGTTGTGTCCCGAAAGAGCAAGAGAACTCCTGGAGCACTCCGTGAAGTGCTCCTCTGATCTTACTCTCCAACATCCCAAAAGCCTTCAATGCATCATGCTGCAAGACAGCCACGTCACAGCCCAGGTGTCATGAGCAGCCCACGGGCGGCCGACTACGAGCCAAACCTCACAGGACAGCTCAAAGTGCTGTGAATCGTCAAGACTTTCAATGCCTTCCTATAAGAGTAATGTTTATAAAGAACTTTTTTAAAAACACGCTTTAATGAAATGTACCCTACTAGGAATGGAAGACCTCCACGACTCCAGGAAGTGGCCCCGAAAGCTTGCCACAACGTAAGGGGGACCCAGGTGGTGATTTACAGCCAACGTCAGTTGAGCATGGACAATTAGACCCAAGCCGAAACATAACATATAAAAAAGATTGTTTAAAAATGTTTTTTATGATAGAATATAGTATTGTCATCAGTATGACCTAAGTATACCAAGTTTGCAGTCGATACCACATTGGGAAGTGGGAAAAAATTGAGTTACAAGATTTGAGGATACGACAACAACAGACAGAGTGAGTTAATAGAAAGCGTGTAATAAAAAGGTCACGGCTAACTCAGTCAATATAATTTCACAGCTGTCACTAGGAGTTGTCGCAACAGGGAAATACGGATTAAAGTACGGTAATTTTTTTAAAGTAATAAAATATTGATTTGAGAATAATTTAAAATATGTAAGATGTTAAGTTTTTCAAATAGTTTTCTTAGTTTTACTGTAGATTTAGAAACTTTGTTTTGATTGGCCAAAACAAGGCGAGAGAACATGTGACTCCAGGAAGCACAATTCAGTTGTGTGTGAGCGAGTTGATTTTGTGCTCATGGGAAACAACGGGCTGTACAGTTGCAATAATGTCTCGTTTGCATAATTACTGACGTAAAATACCCTGAAATGCTGTACTTTAACAGGACTGTAAAATATCACAAGCTGGAATCAGGGTGACATCATTGCCGTTTCGATGGCTGTAAATGCTACAACGAGAGACTGAGGTCACATGGTGAAAAGATAATCTCTCTCTCTCTCTCTGTGGGTCCAGCAAATACATTTTCTAAACCAGCATGATCACAAAATGGAAAGTGAACCTGACTCCTTAAGAGATTTTTCTCGTCACAAACATTGGATATGTTTTTGCAGGACGCATTCCATGTATCTGTTTAAAATTCCATCAACAGAACAATCTGTTCTGTGGGCGTTTGTACTAAATACCATTGTTAAGCGAGAGCATTGTGTTTGGGTGCATTGTAGAGCTTTGACCTCTTACATAACGTAATGACACTCTTGAACACCATGTATGGCACAAAAAGCAGTGGAGAAAAAGTTGCATGGAAATATTTTGAGTAAGAAGCAGATGGGTAGCTCTGGAGAGTTCATAGCCGGGCGAGCTAAATATGGCACCGGAAAAACCTTGAGACAAAACGATGAAAACCCAAGCCTCTCACATGAAATAAAACCATGAGAATCGTGCAATTTTATCGGGGGACTGACTGTGTTGTCCTGGTGCGGTCTGGGACTGTTTTGCTGCCTCGCGCAAGCTTGGGAATTGGAGTACTTACACAGTTGGAACTTAAATAATTTATGTATTTTATTTATTTACGTGATTTGTTTACCTTTCATACACTTTGCACTGCTATCGTTTTCTTGTATTGACTGTTGTTGTGACTTACCGACCCATCCAGACTGGACATGTGAAAAAGAGCTTCATAGCTCATCGGACTTCTCCAGGATAAAC